CCCCAAGGGCAGTCAACCCGGGGGAGGCCTGGGGTCAGGCTGGAGGGAAGCTCTCATTCTGCCTGCCCAACCTCCCGAGCAGCTTGCCAGCCACCCCAGGAGACACCGGCAGGTGTGTGGGTAACACAGCGGGGAGGAGCCTCAGGGGGCAGGGCAGGAGTGGCTATTTCAACCAGTGTGAAAGAATGAAAACATTCTACCACTTGACATTGTTAAACGTTTTAACAACTCCAGTGGCCCAAGCTGGTGGACAAAAGACCACACTGTCAACCAGTCTCTCCCTCCCTGGGAGTCACTAAGGCCCCATTTCCAGGGAAAGTGTACACAGCCCATGACAGGCATTCTCAGCATGAACAGACACACAAGATGAATATTTACAAAGTACACTGCCCACAGATGCCCCTCTTTGATCCCTTTCCCCAAAAAAATAGAAGCTTTGGGAGGGGGATTTTGGTGCTAGAAATCTGGGTAGAAAGTTGCTAACATAGACTCCCCCAGATTCCAGCCTCACCTGCTACACAGGAAAAGGTTTGATTTCCTATCCCTTTTCTACCACGAAGGATGGCATGTGTGCCTACCACCACCAGGACCCCTACAAGGACTTCCTCATCCTAGGTGAGGATCCCCACTCCAGCTCCTCATGGCTCTCCAGCGACCCACATGGCTCTCCTGTCTCCCTCCCTTCAGGATCCTCTGAGCCAGCACACTACGTGCTCTCATCCCCGGGACCGTGCTGGGCTACCAGGATTGACCACTCACTGGCCCTCTGCTCTGGCCCATCCTGCAGCTGGCTCTGGGCTCAGTCCCCCCACTTCTGGGCTTGCCTCACTGTGATACGACCTTGCCCTTCTACACCCTGTCCCAGCCTAGCAGAAGGGCTTCAGTGGTGCTTACGAGGCTGTCTGCAAGTGTGCAGCAAGTTCTTGGCTCCCTGTGCCCTCACCAGAGGCCAGATACCTAGCCTCTCTCTATGCTTGCCCTTGGCTGGGGCTGCTCTGGTCTTTCCTGCTCCCTCTGGCTGTTCCCTCTCACTGTTCTCCATTCCGTACCCCTCCGCAGCTGCCTCTGGCTTTTCCCTGCTTCCCCTGCCCACTCCCAGCTCATACTTCTCTCTGCTGCTCCCTCTGCTGGTCCTTATTCCCTCTGCGTAGTCCCCATCGGACCCTTCCCTGGTCCCTCTTGTTTACTCTTCCCTCTAAATGTTGCTTGCTCCTTTTGAGTACCCCTGGTCTCTTTCCGGATTGTCCCTGGCTTCCTCTAACTGTTCCAAGCCTCCCGTTTCTTCTTCCCTTTGACTGCTCAGACGGAGCCCTGGTGCCTCTGACTGTCCTGTATTTCCTTCGATAGTTTCCCCTCTAGCTGATCCTTAGTCTGTGGCACCATTCTTCTGATTGGGCACTAGTCCATTTGGCTGTTCCCTGGTCCTGATGAGCTTTTCTTATTCTTTCTAGTGGACACAGACTGACTGCCCTTTGAGTCCCCTGACTGCTCTCTAGTCCCAATTCTTTCCTGTGCCTTGGGCAAACCTGGAATGCCTTTCTAGTACACCCTCACTTGACACACCTGCATCTGGTTTCCAGGGGGTGGGGAGCAGCACACTTTGTGGAGAGCTGGTCGACCCAGCTCCTAGTCTAGGCTCTTGACCACCAAAGTCTACCAGTTCTGGGCACTCCACCATGATGCTTGATTTTGTACTTTCACCTTCTCCATCACTTACATCATGTCTGACTATCTGCTGGTTCCTCTGGTTGTTTCCTGGGTAGGGTGACCAACTGTCTCGTTTGCCAGGACTTTCCCTATTTTAGCACTGAAGTCCCACATCCCAGGAAACCCCTGTCACCCTATTCCAGGGAACTCTGGTTGTTCCTCAGCCTCTCCTTGGCTTCTGCAACTGCCCCCCCCCCGCTTTTAAAGATTTTATTTATTTATTTGAGAGAGAGAGAGAGAGAGAGTTAGCAAGAGCAGGAACACAAGCAGGGGGAGTGGGAGAGGGAGAAGCATGCTTCCCGCTGAGCGGGGAGCCCAATGTGGGGCTCGATCCCAGGACCCTGGGATCATGACCTGAGCCGAAGGCAGATGCTTAACGACTGAGCCACCCAGGCGCCCCTGCAACTGGCCCTTAACCCCAGTGCCTGCTACATGGGGCCCTCTGGCTGCTAACTAGCTTCAGGAATGGATACTATGCCTTCCAGCTGTTCTCTAGTCCCTCTAGCTGTTCTCTGGTCAGTCAGGCTGCTCTCCAACACCAGATAAACTTTTAATGCCCACTTTGTGGTTCCCTAGTCCTCTGGTTAGCCCCTGGGACCTCTGGTTAGCACTCTGTGCCCAGTACAGTTTTGTTCTTCCCTCTGCTGTTCCCCAACCTCAGAGACTATTCCTTGTTCTGTGTGGTTCCTGATGTCCTCAGCTACTCCTCAGCCTGGGAGGCCTTTCTCCGTCTTTCCAACTATCCCTGGGTCTGTCTCCTCCCCACCCCCCCACCTGTTTATAGCCTCAGCAGCTGGTCCCTGCTTCCTCTGGCTGCTATCCACTCCCTTCCCATTCTTTCTTATTTTTTTGTTCCCTGGTACCTCTACCTTTCCCTATCTTCTCAGACTCCCCTAAACCCTGGTGCCTTGTGAAGTTGCTTGTCCCACAGGTTCTTGCCCAGAACACCAAACCTATCTGCTCTTGCCATTTTGGCCAGATCTTCTGTTTTCTCATCCCTCTGGATGGTCCCTGCTCCCTCTGGCTGCTATCTGGTCCCTCTACCTTCTGGTCCCTCCTCCTATTTTGGGATCCCTCTTATTGTTCTTGGACCCACTGGCTTTTCCCTCTCTCCACCTCTCTAGCCCCTGATGACTACTTCTTGGTCTCTCTGCTGCCCCTGGCTTCTGGGCTTCTGTTTCCCATTTCCTCTGTTCCACTGCACTCTCATTCTGCCCCCTGGGCCCCTTGGCTATCCTCCATCTCCAGTAAGTGCACCATGGTCCCATCAGCTGTTCCTCATCCCTCTTTCTCTTACTGACCCTTCTGCCTATTTTTCAGCCTCAGCCACTACTTCCTGGTCCCGCCAGCTGTTCCCTACCGCTGTGGACACTTTTTTTTTTTTTTTTGGTTCTTCGGTATCTCTGCCCATTCTCTGCTCCCTGACATCTAATGAAAAAGCCAAAAACCTGACAAATAAATAAGTGAATAAATAACACTCAACAGGGTCTTGGTCATTTCCATCTCTTCTTGCAAAGGGTCAGAGGTCTGTGGTTGGGAAAGAAGAGATGAGTGAAGAAATGTGCCCTGTAGAGCCCAGAATCTTTTGTCTAGAAATTCCCACACACTGGCTGGGCAAGGAGCCACCTGCAGAAAGACTGGGGAGTGCCATGTTGTTGTGGCCTCAAACTGTGGGTCTGTGATTGATATGATGGAGCAGAGCCTAAACACTTCCATAGGTGGAAGGGCACTATGGTTAGGCAGCAATTCGTTTACCATTCAATGCCTTTATACCTTTGACCCAAACATAATTTCAGTGACTTGGACAAAAAGACTTAAGTGCAGGAATTTTACCACAGCAGTGTTAATCCCAACAGAAAACCTGAAACACCCTAAATGCACATACAGTGGATTGGTTAAATTAATTCAAGTTTATCCAAAGGACATAATGCTGTGCATTATGTGTATATGAAGAAAAAATATTTAATGCCTAGAAAATCATGTTAAGCTGTCAAATTAAAAAGGAGGCAACCAAATACTGTGATTCCATTTTTAAACTTGAGCTATAGAATGTATATGTGTATGGTATGTATGCACACCCACAGCCCCACACATATACCCACATATATGCACACTTGTGCATACAAAGGAAAAATCAACTGAAAGGAAATATACCTAAATGTTAACAATGGTTAACTTTGGGTAATGCTGGAATTACAAGTAATGTTTTATTCTCTTCTGTTTGTTTACCTGCATTCTCTAACATTTTATTGTGAAATAATGAAATTATGAAATAATAAAAATCAAAATAATTTTTTAAAGTTTAATATTATCCTAATGACCATGTGACCCTGAGCCCCTGTGACAAGAAGCCTGCCCCAGAGGTGACAGCATTCACAGGAAGGTTTGAAGAAGGGAGTTGTCAGGCAGGGTCTGGCTCTCTCATCGTCTTCCCCTATTTACAGATTCTCAAGGGGAATTTTTATTTATTTTTCTTTTTATTTTTTAAGGATTTTATTTATTTATTTGAAAGAGAGAGAGAAGGAACACCAGCCGGGGAGGGGGGCAGAGGGAGAGGGAGAAGCAGGTTCAGGGCTCTATCCAAGGACCTGGAGATCATGACTTGAGCTGAAGGCAGACACCCAATAGACTGAGCCACGCAGGTGCTCAAAGGGAACTTTTAGGGGGCAACTTGGTCTTGGCTGTGGTGTGGTGAGGGTGGAGGACACATTCAGGAGACCTGGTTCCAGTCCAACACTGTTACTCACAATCCAAGAGGCCTGGGCAAGTCATGTCCCTTCTCAGGCCATTTTATCACCTTTGAAAGGAGGAGGAAGAACCGGAAGGACCCTGGAGACTGTTGTTGCCCTATTACCCTGCCATCCTCTCAGTTCCAGAGAAAAGGGATTTTTCTGCCCTAGATCAGGATAGAGGAGGAAGCAGCAAATCCCCAGAGACAAGGGGGAAAGGAGGCTGGGGGCAGGGGGTGATCCGCTGAGCAACTGCAAAGAGCCAATGGAGAGTTGCAGGGCCTATGCTGGGGGTCGGGGGTAGCATCTCCCTGGCTAGGACCCCAGATGTGGGGTGACCCTCCTATCCCACCTTTCCTCCATCACATGTCCACTGAAACACACAGGGCTCTGGATGTGGGACATCAGCCACGTGGTACTCACACAGCAGGAGGATGGTGACCTGGGAGCCTGGAATCTGCCACTTCTGTGACCCACCTGCCCCTCCCCTGAGGCCCTGGTGACAGGTCAGGGCTGTCTCCTCACTGAGCGAATTCCTGCCCCTGGAGTCCTCTCCCTCCTCACCTCACACAAACTGCCACGTCCCTCTGCAGCCAGGACCGAGGACCACTGGGGAGAACTCCGGTTAGCTGGCATGTTCCCGCTGGGCCTCAGCTCAAGGGCTCTCTTGCTGATGACTTTGCTCTTCCCAGGAGCTCGAAGCCAGCCGGGCAGCCGGGGACTCAATCAGGGCTGCTGGGGCCAGGAGGTAGGTCCTACAGACTCTGCTTCGGGGTCTGGCCCAGGGGCTCCACAGAGACTCCAAGAAACCCTGGAGAGCCAGTGTGCACGTGGTCAGTCACCATTCACCCCACAAAATGCTTCCTGGGGGCACCAAGGGAGCAGCTCCCTGTGCTGGATACTGTGAAAAAGAGAAGTTCAGTAAAACCAACACCAAATGTTAGCGTATAATGTGAAAAAAATACTCATAAAACTTGGTATAAAATGAATGAGGGTTTGAATTCCAGATCTTCTACTTTCTAGCTAGAGTCTGGGGGAAGTCACTTTAGTCTGAGTTTCTTCATCTTAAAACTGAGGATGAAAACACCTGTCTCAAAAAAAAAAAAAAAAAAAAAAAAGAAAAAAAAAGAAAAGAAAAGAAAACACCTGTCTCATAGGGTTGTTAGAATTAAATGATACGATATGATGCCTCCAAAGCAATCATTCCTACTTGGCACCTGGAACATATTACATTGATATTAAATATTGCTATTATTACAAGGTGCAAGGCAGGTACCTCATTTAATTTTCAAACTCATCCTGTGAACTAGGTATTCTATTAGTATTATTCCCATTTATCATCAGATAGAGATGTTCAGAGATATTAAGAAATTTGCCCCAAGATCACTCGGATTAGGGGGAAGGACAGGGACTCAAACCCAGGTATGCCTGGCTCCAGGGTACATTTTCTTCACTACTATGCCATATGGTATTCTGTATATGGCAGGTCACAAAAAACATTATTTCCATTTCCTTGCTGCTCTTAAAGTGCTCTGGCTAGGGGTGCCACATGTGCATAAACTGAGCTTCTGTATAATTCAGTGTATGTTCTGGGCAACTTAGAGAGCTCGCCTTCTTCTGCCATAGATGAAAACATAAACTCATTGCCTCCCTCCCCCAACTCCCATCTGGGCACTGAAAACTAGCATGTCTGTACAGGCTCCTAAATCAGTAACCCACACTGCTTGACAAAACCGTGTCCCAGATGGTACCATCAACTGGCTTCCACAGGCTCCCCAAATAATCACCAACACCCTCAATACACCCTCAATAGAAAACCAACCACTGATCCACTCAATGCCCTTTGGGTGCCAAACCTGACCTCCTATAGGACCCCATAACTCACAGTCCATATATAGAACTAGTGACTCCCATAATACCTTCAATAATAGTCCATCACATACTAACTCACACAGCCCTGCATTTACCAATATCCACAAGTCTCAATCAATGACTCGCATAGGGCCACCAAAACTGACTCCCAAAAACTTATAATCCCAGGCTTGCAAGCAATCATTTGCCACCTCAGTGTTCCAATCAATAACTCTTGTGGGCTAATCAATGACTTCAGACACTGACATCCCCAACTCTTATAAAACCTCAAGAATTTCCCAAGACTGTACCTCACTGCCCCAATGTGAATCGTAGCTATAGGCTTTAGATTATCTAATCCTATTGGACCCTACCTCACTGATTCTTCCCCATAGAAATCCCCCCAATCCTTGACTCCCAAAGGAACCAAATCAACCCCAAACCTGATGTGGCATTGAATTTAGAGGACAAAAAGGAAACCTACAACACTTCCAGCCAGAAACAACACATTATTTAAAATGGAAAGGGCTCACAACGGCACTAGACTTTTTGTTTGCAGTGATAGGAATCATATTAGAAGAAAATATCTACAAATTACTGAGAGAAAGGAGCTGAGATCCGAGAATTTTAAACCCATCCTAGCTTGATACTATTCTTCTGTCAGAGGAAAAGACAATTTTAGCCATAAAAACATTTATAACATTAAATGCCACCATTCCTAGCTCAGGAGAATACTCAAGGGAATAGTCTAAGCAATTATAAATTGAATAGTAACAGAAACCTCAAAAATCAGAGGAAAGCAGTCTTCAGAAATGATTCTTGTAATATACAGTTATATCTGAATAAAGAAAAATAACATAACTAGGCATATGGAATAAATAAGATTACTACTAAGTGGAAAATTTAAAAGACCCTGGAAAATCTACTGAGTAAAATGAGGAGAAGGCAAATTATGCACCTCTATTCCTAGATCCAAATACGATTATAACATTATTGGATCTAGTAATAGAGAAAATATAGACAATTATATTTCTAAGGAAGGTGAAGGCAACTACTAGCAGAAATTGATAAATATAATCAAAATCCCAAACTATCAGAATTCCAAGATAATAAGAACCCAGAGGGGAATGAGAAATGTGACCAAACCAGCAAAAATAGGAAAAGGGAAAGAGTGGAAATATCAACAAAATAAAATAAATAGTGAACATAAAATAATAGAAGGCACAAAATTTAGTATGTTATAATTCAACTAAATTGAATGAGCTGAATCCTGCCATAAAAGATAAAGACAATGGGATTGGTTCACAAAAACAATACACAGGTGCCACATATCTAAAACAAAAAGACAAAGATGTGAAATGAAGCATTGGACAGAAACATGCCATGCTATTTATCATTCTTTCTGTTATGGTTGGCACTCGTTGTGTCTTAGTTAGGAAAACCTTGCCTACCTCAGGGTCATAAAGATGTTTAATGTTTTCTTCTAAATTTGTATTGTTCTATCTTTTATGTTTAGATTTATAACCTTCTTGGGAAGGATTGTGGTGTGTGGTAAGTGTTAGGGTCAAGATTCATTTCTTCCAGGGCGCCTGGGTGACTCAGTCAAGCATCTGCCTTTGGCTCAGGTCATGATCCTGGGGTCCTGGGATCAAGCCCCAGGCCAGGTTGAGCTCCCTGTTCAGTGGGGAGTCTAATTCTCCCTCTCCCCCTGCTCCTCCCCCTGCTTGTGCACGCTCTCTCTCTGTCAAATAAATAAATAAATAAAATCTTTGTTTAAAAAAAGATTCATTTCTTCCATATGGATATCAGGGTGATCCAGCATGGCTTATTGAAAAGACTATCCTTTCTCCACTGCTCTGCAGTGTTGCTTTGCAACCGTCTATGTGGAGGTTCATTCCTGGACTCTGGGTTTTGATTGGTCTATTTGTCTATTTGTGGACCACTACTATAGTGTCTTAATTAATGTGCTTCATATCAAGTTTTGATATCTGGTAGAATAAAAGGTTATTAAATTGGACCACACTAAAATTAAAGACCTTGGCTCATCAGAAGACAAAATTAAGAGTGAAAAGGCAAGGGACACCTGGGTGGCTCAGCTGGTGAAGTGTCTGCCTTCGGCTCAGGTCATGATCCCAGGGTCCTGGGATCGAGTCCCACACCAGGCTCCTTGCTCAGCAGGGATCCTGCTTCTCCCTCTGCTGCTCCCCCTGCTTGTGCTTCCCCCCCCGATAAATAAATAAAATCTTTTAAAAAAAGTGAAAAGGCAAATCCCACAGTGGGAAAAGATGACTGTAATATTGGTATCTGACAAACAACTCATATACCAAATATATCAAGAATTCTTAGAAATCAATAGGAGCAATAGGAAAAGAGAGAAGGGAACAGGCACTTCCCAAAGAAGATATGCCAAGTGGCAAATATGCATAGGAAAAGATGCTCAACTTCATTAGTTAGCAAGGAAATATAAATTAAACTACAATCAGATACTCCTTCATACCCACCAGAAATGGCTAAAAATGGAAAAGATGGAAAATAACCAAGAGAGTTGGTGAGGATATGAACAATGGAAACTCATAAATTGTTTTTGAGGAGCATACAATAGTACAAACACTTTATAAAACTGTGTGGTGTTATCTATGAAAGCTGAACACATGCAATAGCCTGTGACCCAGCTCTTCTACTTCTAGGAATATACTCAGGAGAAATGTGAGCATATGTTGACTGAAAGACTAGTAAGATGATGTTCAGAGTGGCTTTATTCAAAACTGAAAATTATGCAGATGCCCATCAACTTCAGAATGGATAAACAAGTTGTCCTATATTCATACAAGGAAGTACTATACAGTAACAAGAATGAACAAATTACTATGCACAACAGGCATGAATCTCATCTCATGAATATTACATTGGCCAATGAAGCCAGACCCAAAAGAGCAATGAATCAATACTGTATGATTATGTTTATATTAATTTCAAAAACATGTCAAACTAATCTATGCTGTTAGAAGTCAGGCTGTTGGTACCCCTTGGGAGGAGGTTAGTGATTGGAAAGGAATACAAGGGGGTATTTCTTGGGTGCTAGTGATGTTCTATTTCTAAATCTAGGTGGTGGTTGTGCATGTTCACTCAGTCTGTTAAAAAATCATCAAGCTAAATGCATAATCTGTGCAGTTTCTTACATTATGTCATAATTAAATAAAGATTTTAAAAATATACAATACACCAGACAAATGCAAGAAATTGAAAGCATATCTAGAAATAAATTATTGAGTGGAAATTAAGTCCAAAGTGCTCAATAGATTAACAAAGGGGTCCATTTTTAATAATAAAATATACAATAAAAAGTACATAAACCTTTGCATAAATCTTTAGGGCCATTCAATATATACAAATAAAACCAGCACAAATGCATGAAACCACATGAAATCTTCAAAATCATAATTATGGAGACTTCCTCTTCTGGAGATGGAGTAGATATTAGTTTACCTATTCTTTCTGCTAAATAACAACTAAAAAGTGTGGACATTATATATAAAACATAGGAAGAGGGGCACCTGGGTGGTTCAGTCAGTTAAGCACCTGCCTTCAGCTCAGGTCATTATCTCAGGATCCTGGGATCGAGCCCTGCATCAGGCTCCCTGCTCAGTGGGGAGTCTGCTTCTCCCTCTGCCTCTCCCCCTGCCTTGTCCTCTCTCTCTTGCTCACTCTCTCTCTCAGATAGGTAAATAAAATCTTAAAAAAAAACAACATAGGAAGATTCTGAAAGGTGGAGTGAAGAGGGCAGATTGGCTAGGGATCCTGAGACCCCAAAAATGACATGGCAGTGAGTTCTCTGTGTTTTCTTTTAGCCTCATATATCCTAGACTTGGTGCTGGAGAAACCAGCAACTTAGAAAGGCCAATGGTGCAGACAAAAACTGCCCCAATAAAAGCCTGTTCTCTCTAGTCAAAGGACCAGGCAAGAGGCAGTCTACCAAGACAGAAAACTTTCAGACAATGATGGCTCTACTCAGGCCAAACACCACAAAAACTCTGGGGTCCTACCACCATT